ATTGGAGGGAGTTGTAAAGTTATATTATTCTTGAAATTTTGTTTTTTAAAGATGTTACTTTCATAGATTTTAAGTATTTTAAATATTTGGATTTAAAACTCTTTACCCTTATGTCATGGTTTAATCCCAGCCATCAGCTAAGTACCACACAGCCGCTTGCTTACCTCTCCCCTCCTCAGCAGAGGAGGAGAATGGGAGGAAAAGACAAGGAAACTCATGGGTTAAGAATAATAATTGAAAATAAATAATGATACTAATACCAACAATACTAAATATTACTACTAACAATATGCAATGAAATAATACTACCACTATTACTACTAATATATAATTAAAATAATGGAAAATTGAACAAATTATACAACTACTCGCCACCTGTTGACTGTTGCCCAGCCAGGTTGTGTTGCCAGAGAGCCCAAGAGCTAGGCCAAGGCTTAGACAGAGATCATGCCAGAGTGAGCCCCAACAAGCAAGAGAGGGAGAGCCTGAGCCCTGGCCCACCCTCAACTTATATACTGAGCATGATGTTTTAGGGTATGAAATAGCTGTTTGGTCAGTTTGGGTCAGCTGTCTGGCCTGCGTCTCCTCCCAGCTTCTTCCCAGTAGAGAAGAAACTGGGAATGCAGGTGCAGTATCAGAAGCTGAAAAAGTCCTTGGCTTGATATAAACATTGCTTGACAATAGCCAAAATCATTAGTATTGTCAATATTCTTTTCAGAACAAATCCAAATCATAGCCTAATACTAGCTACTGTGAAGAAAATTAACTCTATCCCAACTAAAATCAGCACACCTCACTAATGAAGAGTTAAGGTTTTTGCTTGCATATTAAATTTCTCCAACATTAAGAGTCAGGAACTGTGTGAAAGAGAGTGTGATTATTTAAATTGACTTTCTTGTTTGCAAGAAATAAGGGAAAACAGAATGTTCAAGGTAGGTTGTACCTAATAAAATGGGGAAGAGATGTGGATACAGGAGTTACTGCTGATATCTAAAGCTTTTCTTGTAGCCAGATAGAGAACTTCTGTCTTGGATACCGGTCCCACAGACATCTTGTATGTTTGAACATCTGTTTATTGATGTTCCCTTACAAACCTAAAAGTACACATCATTCTAAGCTCTTTAGGATAAGGACTGTATCATCATATTTACTTTTACGGTAATTGCTACAGCAGGACTTTGGTGCTAAATGGGGCTTCTGGACACTGCCTGTGTTGAAATGATAATTATGCTCAAGTTGATAATAGACAGTTGTTAGAAAATGAAACCCCTGCAAAACATCCTACCTGTGAAATGCATTTTAATTGGTTTATATTATAGTGTGACATTTAATGCAAACATCTGTAAGCTTGGTGCATGCAGGCTTCTCTGATAAAGCCCTTGAGAATTGTCCTTTGTTTTCTTGCAGACCTTTGGAACGTTCCAGTGAAGATGTAGATATAATATTCACACGACTGAAAGAAGTTAAAGCTTTTGAGAAATTTCATCCAAATCTTCTCCAGCAGATATGTCTCTGTGGATATTATGAAAATCTGGAAAAAGGAATCACATGTAAGAAAACTTCGTATGATGATCTGTTTTATGTAGATAAAATTGAGGGTTAGGCTGGGATTGTCTCTAGGAGATCGATGAGAGAGCACGATCAGTGGAACAGCCATAAAAATATTAACAGTTGTAATCATGGGGGTAGGCAGGAGTAAAGTGCTGCTTGCTCTACAAATACAGTGTGTAGTGACTCTATGGTAACAAGGCACACATTATTGGATTTAGGACTCTGCCACTGTTTTGTTGAAAGTTTAAAAGCAAGTCATTTCACTTAAGCCTCGTTCTTCCCCTGTAAATATATTATTGATCTCTTTTGTAGGTGCTTTGTGATGTCAGGGGCAAATGTGTGTCTCCTAGGCATATCACTGCTAGCATGTGGTTTGCAGTCACTCTGGATAACACAAGACAGACTTGCAGAGCTGCAACTGCTGTGGGGTACAACAGCTTTGTGCCTGTTCTGGCAGCCCATGTGCCAGATGAAGGTGGACAGCTGTTCTTGGTCTCTGAAGCTGAGATGGAGATAGGTGGTGGGACTATGAGAGTTCCCATAGCTGATGGAGACCTGTGGTGTTTGGTAGAGGCTCAGGTACCCTTCAGGTAAATCTGGCTTGCTTTAAGCACACAGCACTGGGGTTTGCTTAGAGTAAAACGAATTCTGATGCTCTGTAATCGCACAGTTGGAATGTCTGAACTTCAAAGTCCTGCAGTTGCTTCTTAGTGAGAACTCAGTGGGAGCTGTGCCTGCATTGGAAGCTTCTGAATTTCAAAGGGACATTGTCAGAGATTATTTTTTGGGTTTGTTTTGTTTATTAACTAAGATAGCAGTAAAAGAGAAGCCTACTGGAGAGAAGAGTGAAGCAATTCTATGTGCTTTCCTTGTTTCTGTAATGTATCAACCAGTTTACTAAAATATGTGCTTTCCAGTGTCATTGGAAATATTATTGTACTAGTAAGTAAGTTGTAAGATATGGCAAATTCTATAGTGCCAGCAGTGATTACAGTACTACAGTACATAAGAGAAAATGTTTGTTAATTTTGCTAAACTGAGATAGCTCTTATTTACAAGATTCCATCTTTCCAGTATTCCGTCAGGGTGATATTGGGACGAACTGGTATGCTGTTCTGACAGGATCACTGGATGTGAAGGTTTCTGATACAAGCAATCACCAGGTAAAATAGATTTTTCATTGAAACTATCCAGTTAAATGACTTATGCTGACGTAGATAACAATGACATATATTGTACAGATATCTTGCCTTATCACAACTATGTTGCTCTGAGTCTCCCTTAATCTCAGTGTCCTCTGTCTCTGGAGGGCAAATCATGCCATTGATTTCAAGAAAACTAGTGCTCTGAAAAGGTGTCTAAATTTTAATACTAAACAAGAGTCCTCTGTCTTTTCTAATAGTGCCATATGAAGTTAAACTAAAGATCTAAGAGTTTTAATTCATCCCCGGTAATATTTTAATTCAGTCCTTGTTCAGAAGGTTCAAACCAAACCCACCAGCAGTGCAGTCTGATAACAGTGTACTGCAGTCTCCACTGGAAGAATGAGAAAGTATTATTGTAACAGCAGAGTATTGTAACTGCTGCCGTGTCAGACCAGAAGCCTAGAGGTAATACCTATTCAGCATTAAGAAATGGAAGAACAAGTAAAATTCCTCCCAAATGTCAAGTGTTTTTTCAGTATCTTGGCATTCTTGATTTTAAAAACTTGGGAATTTAGAGTAAATTAAAAAAAAGATCAGATATTTATCTTGGAGGGTCTCCTACCCATGTCATCTAATGCCATGCTGGCAAGTTACCCACTTCCTGCTGTTAGCTGGGTATTCTGGGAAGACATCATGACCCATTCCCTGCTGCCATGTTTGAGCTCTGGGATTATCCCATCATGTAGCTCAGCATGGGGTTTTACCTCTGACAGGTGACTTGTGCCCTCACACAGGGGGTATAGCTACCCGGGGTGGGGGTATAGCATGTGTGGGGCAGGGCCTTGCTGGTGGTGTATTCTTTACCCAAAGCTTTGCTGATTGGAGAAGATTTTTTGCTCATAGAAGATTAGCAGAAATTGGATTTTTTCATTTTGTTGGGCAGTGCATCACCAGTGAAATTGGGTCAGAATGCAAGTCAGGGTAGTGTGCGAGCACTGGGTCTTTTTACTTGATAGAGTAAAGATGACAGATACAGAAGGGACTTGTTTCATATAATTATTTTTAGCAGTCTCTTCACTCTACTAAGTAGAGACTGATTGAGAGTATAATCAGCCTAATTTAAGCATTTCTCAGAATGGCCTGGCTGTCATTGGTATTGTCGCAACTTGGAAGAGTACTAGGCTCTTATGAGACCCTTTTCTGTGCAGGTCTAAAGCAATCAGGCATATCTTCTGGTGTTTGCCAAAAGATGGCACTAGACTGTTGTTAAGAACCAATGCTCTTTACTGAATCAGAAAGAAATATATGCACAAAAGTGTTCTGGGGAAGTTAATTTAAGGATCTGCTTGGAGTGTTGATTTGTTCCATTAGATGGAGGATGGAGCACTTCATTCTGCCTTTTACGAAGTCTAGTGTAAATATTTTTTTCTGTTTATTCAGGTTCATTGCCATTAGGAAACTACAGAACCACAATTCATGTAGTTCTAGTCCTAGAAATTATACTCTGCAGTAATTTCTTAACCTCGCATTTCCTTCTCACAGGAACAATGCGCTGAGTTGTTGATACTCACTGCCTAGTTGATGTAGGGTACGGCCTCACTGCCAAAAGGACAGCAGCTCATGCATTTACCATACCAGTGATGGATAGGCTTGGTGGTTGGGGACTCCTAAATACTATTTGAATCAAATATTTTCTCTGGTTTTGCTCTAGCTTTGTATTTATACCATGTCCCTCCTCAACTATCCTTGGTCTCCTGCTCCTTGTCCTACCTTCAGCTCCTGGGTGCCCTGTTCCAGTCTTGCCTGTACTTCCTTGCTGGCAGGGTGCTAGTCATTCTTGAGCCTGAAGTACTTGCTAGCACTCCCTGCCTACTGTGCGCACCACAAACTCAGATGATGGAGAAAATACTGCTCCATAAGCAGGCAGCCCTGACGGACTCGGTTGCCAGCATTGTGCTCCCACCTAGGAATGAGTGACCAGTGCTTGAGATGTAGGGATGCTTGTAACCTACCCTGGAGCACGTTTTCCAGTTACAGCACCCAGGAGCAAAACTTCCTTTGCAAAGTCATAGTAATGATTAATTGCACTGCTGTTAGCAATAGTGCCATTTATGGTATAATACTAATGAGAAACTTCCATCAGAGCAGAAGTTTGCCTGAATTTACAAGTTCAAAAGTTTGTAGTCTCATGTAAAAGTACAGAAGGACTGTGCCACCTTTTATAGGAAGAGAGAAGCTGACTTTGTATTTAGGTTCCTGTTGGTTAAAAAGCTTTCAGACATGACTGATAATCTTCTAATGTTTAAGATGAACAGAAGGTTGTTTTAGGTGACCCCCTGAGTTTTCTTGCACCTTGACTTATGATCACATGATGATGCATACAGTGTTAATGTAAATATGGAAAATCAAATCTCTTGATTAAAAATTAGTCCCACTTTTACGAGGTGCTCATCTGCCTACCTGGGGAACTTAAATTTTAGCAAGCCTGGGAATAAATGTGCTGTGTCGCAGCTACCGTGCGCTAACTCTTTATGCAGTCACCTTTGTTGTTTGGTAGTTCTCCCATTAAAAGTGCGTTAAGTTACTGTGTGCTTGTTGCTTTGTCTTAATGGCCTTTGTGCCTACAGAGACGTGTAGTTACATGTCTTGCACTAGAATTTATATCTAAGTGCACTAATTTGTCAAGATTTCGGTGTATCTAGTGAAGTATTAATTCATACACATTCTCGCTGCACATTAGCTTACTCCTGCAGACACCGGTGATTTCTCACAGAAAAATTTAGTAATGCTGATTAGGACCAGGTTGAGAATTTATATGAACAGAAATATTAACTTTACATATTATTTGCTATTATGATAAGAGGTAGAATTCCATGTAGTGATTTAAATGTTTTAATAAAGACAAACACATATTTAGGATCTTGTAGATGAAGCCTTGCTTTCATCTTGGTTTGGAAAAATCTTTTCTGACTGCTTGCAAAACTGTATTGTGTCACAAGAGGGCAGTGTTAGAATACATAACAAACAGTTCAGGCTCTATTTAATTCTAAAATGGCTAGTTTAAAAATCACATTCCACTGTTTTAAAGAGTTTGACCAGAGCAGATTTCTCTGTTACTGTTAGTTCTGTTCCACTGAGGTGGTAAAATATGCTAGCTGCTGCTGATTATGATAGTAATTTCATTTGCCATTGAAATGAGACAATACAATTTACAATACAGAGTTCTGGCAGCATTACCCATCCAGTACATCCTGAGTGGTGTCTGCTTTCTGTACAAACTACTTATGAATTTGCTGGCTATTCAACAATCAAGAAAAGGCTGAAGGGGATTTTTTTTTTTTAAGGTAAAAATGTCACACTTTGAATTGCAGAAGTAAATGTAATGTAAGTAATATTCCTAGATTGGTGTTGTCTTAAAAATGCTGCTGACTGCCTTGTGTATGTTTAATTTTTGAACTCTTTTGAAAATGAACAGGTTCTGAAGGATGACTGTTGGTAATGTTTCAGAATAAACCTGGGAATAAAAGCTCATGACAAAAGCATCAGTGTGACATCTTTGCCAGTTTCTGCAGCATTGTGTTTTACTGAATTCAGTCAGAGCTTTTTACCCCAAATGATTAAGATTTATATTCCTGTCTGATAAAACGGGAAGGAATGAAGACACCAAATAGCAATTTGAATGGCAGTTTTGCTGTAGTCTGCCAGCTGAATCATATTGTGTGCTGGGAGCTGTTGCTGGTTTATCTTGATTGTGTCTTAGTGGATTTTTTGAAGTTGATCAGATTTTGCAAAACAGACCAAACTCTGAACACAGGGCAATGACTTGACAAACACTTAGCTTTTTTTAGAAAAGCTTTAAGGGAGGAGCTGTGGGTGCTTGGGTGGTACAGCCGTGTCAGGTGTAGGAAGATGCAGAGGGCTGAGGATCCAAAGCCAAATAAGTTCGTGGTGTCACTGCAAAGAATGACTGTGAAGAAAAAGGTTCAGATGTCCACTTAAGAAAGGGAAGCATTTCCTGGGTCTTTGAAACTGAGAACAAAGAAGGTATGTGATAAGATGAAGTGGAAACAAGGAAAGAACAGTCCTTGCACTACTGCTTCCTGCATGTAAATGCCATTGTGTATGCATGTAAATAGCCATTTACGTATTTTTGGAGATAACTGATGTGGAGACATAGGTTTGTACTGTAGTCTTTAGAGGAGTGTAAATATTACTTAGCTTGAGCATGAGAACTGTTCTGTCTGTTGTAACAGAGATTGGCTGGACTGATGTACTGAGCTGAGATGAGGGCTTGTTGGCCCATGCTGAGCTCCACAGTGTCATGATTGTACTAATTTTGGTTTTGAATTTAACTTATTGAAAGTTAAAGCTACATCAACTCCCTTATAAACTCAAAATGCTGAATAAACTAAAATATCAGAGAAGAGTACCCAAGCCCTTTCAACCTAGCACTCTTAATATTTTTTTTCCTATCTTCGTTATTTCTCTATGACACCGTGATTTTGTTTACACACAGTGCAAGAATTCTGTTTGCCAGGCTGGAAAATAAAGTGTCACAAGTCAGGGAGGAGCATGCAGGGATGTGCCTTGTGGTGGTGTGGGAGGAAATAAGGGAGAGCCTTGTTTCTGATTCTCATCCATTCCATAGAATGGTCTTAAAAATTCAATAATATTTTAGATTGATGGGGGGGAGGTTTAACAACTCTTTCACTGCATGTGTCTCACCTGCCAGTGAGAGTCAGTGAAACTGAATACACAAACAGCCTCTGATTTGAACGCTACCATTTTGTAGTGTGTTAAAGAGGACAGATAGCCATGGAAACAATCTCGTCTTTTTAAGTCTTTACTACTGCTTTTTAAATAGCTGTGTGAAATTTAGCTGGTTACTAGCAGCTAGAACCCCCTGCTGCTTCTGGGATTGCAGAGGGGAACAGCAAACTGAGTTTTGAGCTGCCAGCAATCCTCCTGAAGTCTACACTGAACAGCAGGAGATTCTTGAGTGTAAGGTTAACAGTCATAATAGGAAACACACACCTGATTCCCCAGGAGGCTGGAGATGTATAAACAAGGGGCAGAGAGAAAATGAGGCTCTCAAGTCTTGACGACGACAGATGGGCTTGCTCCCTAGCTGGCTGTGAAACTTCATCTCTATGGAGAGCAACGATGGCTGGGGAAAAAACCTGAAAGAACTTTCACTTGATAGAAGCCTGGACTTTAATTTAATCAACCTAGATAGGACCATTCCAGCTCCTTGACTTAACACCCTGCTATGTTAGTTTATTTCTCATGAGAAGTTATCTTAGAAAGCAGCTCCTTAACCAACACCTTTCCTTTTCTGTATTCTGTCTTTGGAGATACATCCTTTAGGGTGTAAAGAATCAAAAAGAGTTGAAGCGTTTCAAAGGAGGTTGGTTTTTTTTGAGGGAGGGAATGGAATGAGAAAGAAGTTGGAAGATGTAAATACTGCTTATGATCCACCTAATGGCAAAGTTTCTTTTTCTGCCTGGCTATTTGGTTATTCTGCCCTAAACAGAGATCTTTTATCTGAACTTCCTAAATAAAGTTGAGAATAATGTACTGGAGACCTGGGGATCAAATTTTATGTGAGCAGTAGGCACATTGTAGCTCCTCTGAGTGCAATTGGGTGTATGGTAGCATCCATGTAGTGTTTCAGCTCTGGAAGATGTGCTAAGGCAGAACTTTAGAGTATAGCCTGTTTTGCAGACTGTTCGTAGAGACTTCTCTTTAGGTGCCTAGGTACTTATTCCCAAATATTCTTTCTTTTAAACAGTGCCTGTTCATATTTGCCTTGAAAATTTATTTCTGACCATTGGTAAATTCTTCCTAAATCTTTTCCAAGACATAATTCCTCTTGTTTTCCTGAACACATAATTTTATATGGTAATATCTTTGCAAAAGCAATTTGCTATGGTTCAGGGAACTGGACTATTATGGGCATTTGTCTTTGTAATGCAATTATAAAGCTACTAACTTGATCTTAATAACATTTGCCTATTACCACTTATTAGATGCATGAAAGGAAAACAGTGCAATTTTAAACACAGAAAATGATGCAGAAATATGCTGATGCATCTCTTATCAGCCATAGAGATGTAGTGGATGGGATGACAGAATTTTCTGCTTCTATTTTTGTAGGCTTTCTATGAATCCTACATTTAGAATTAACCTATATTTCTAATGCTGTATCAAATAAAATTAGCGTGTGTTTTTGTGTTTGTGTATTTGTCTGTGTGCCTGTGTGAGTTCCTTAGTAAACTACGGTTTCTATCAGTTTAAATATTTAATCCTGTTGCTATTTTTTTTAATTACTCAAAAGACAGTTAAGGCCCAGGTTAGAAAGAGATGTACATAACTGTTCAGCTTCAAGCCTGTGCTCAGGAACATAGCAACTTGTAAGCCTAAAGTAGAACATGTATCTAAAGACCTTGATTCAGCAAGTTAATTAATTTTGAGTACTATAATTTTTTGTCTGCAGTAGCTCACAATTTATACTGGAACTATTACAGAGGCGTTCCTGGCCAAGGGGGATTGGTTTAGACATCTTCCCATCACATGAATGGCATGTGCTCTTTTGAAGTGGACTTTACTGCATGTTTAGGACCATCCTGAATACTGTAGTCCAGTGTGGTTTTGGTTCTTTTGTTTGGTTGGTTTTTGGTGTGTGTGTGTGGGTTTTTTTTTTTACTTTTAATAGTTTTCTTGAAATCCCTGATTTATGTGAAACTTTTTTTAGCCTGGTACTTAATCAGCAGGCATCATTAACAATTGAGATGTACTGGCATTTTCAACAGAAAGGCCAAGAGTTGATTAAACTGAGCAATGCCTGCATTGTTCACAGACCTTCTACAATAGAGAAATGCATTTTAAATACAAGAGGATATTATAATTGAAAGTTATGCTTCCTGAGAAAACATAACTGTCATAATCTTTCTGATGAGGGTAGCCTATATAGGGCAGAAATTTATATTCCATGGTTGTATTTCTGATGCTAGTTATCCTCTGATCACCATCTGACACTTCTGAAGGATCTCATCATCACAGAGGTCTTTAGAAGTAGATGAACAGAGGTCATAACTTTCTTCCAAAGGTGAAGGTGATCTGTTCTACGGACAGAAATCTCTAATTCAACTGATGTTCATAGAAAACAGAAGTCCTACTCGTTTCCACATTGAGGCTTCCTGTGTTGTTAATCAGCATATTGATTTTTTTGTTGTCACTTTTAATTAATTTTCTTTTAAAGCAGACTGCTGAAGAACCCTGACTATTGTTAGCAAATGTGACATAAATACTCTGAAAACATCCTGGAATATTTAATGTGTCCTTTTATTTTTAATTCAAAGGATGCGGTGACAATATGCACTCTGGGAATAGGAACTGCCTTTGGAGAGTCCATTCTGGATAACACTCCTCGCCATGCTACTATCGTTACCAGAGAATACAGCGAGCTCCTTCGAATTGAGCAGAAGGACTTTAAAACACTTTGGGAGGTAAATGCAGACTTATTTGCACTTCATGTAGAGAAAAAAAAATGATTTAACCTTTTAAGTGTTTGTAATGAAATATAGGAACATTTTATATTGTAAGCAAAGTAAAAATTGGTTTAAATTAGTTTGGACAAAACTAAGTCTCTATTTAGTGCTTCATATTCTGCATGATTACATACTCCTGTATTTCTTTCTTGGGGGCTTCTAATGAAATAATGTAGGTAAAATTTCTGGAATTTATTTGTGTGATGCAGATGTTGCTTTCTTAGCCTTAAACTTCCTTTTATTGCCAGCATTTATGAGGCGAGACTATCCTTGTATTTTAAATTATTCTCCTTTACTCCTGACTCATCACGAGTTCTAAGGGGCTTAGATTTTGCAGATGGATCAACATCACTTAATTTTTAAGTTACTAATTACATGTGAATTCCCTTAAAACTTTCCTTTGTGGAAAACGTACTGCTGAGGTTCTTCATTCTATAATCAGTGTGTACTTTGGTATCCATGCTGAGAAGATTTCATTAACATGTTACTGTGCTAAGTTACGGAATTTCAATCAGTTTGCATTTTTTGTAACCATTACTCTTGATTTGAAAAGTATTCTGGGAATTGGAAGGCATCCTGTTGGCCTGGCCTATCCTATTGCCAATTGGTACTCCCAGCTTGTTTTAAATGGTGACTGTACAAATTTTGGTGATGTGTAGAGCTGTCAGATGATGTGACAGTGTCCTAAAATTGCAGGTCTGGGGACACTAACTATATTTAGGAACTAACTATATTTAAGAAATAGATGCTGATTGTAGCATTTTAGTTCAGCTTCTCCCCTGAAATGCAAACAGATGGGGGGGGGTGTCTTTTTGGCTTTCTCCTTTCCTGAGAAAGAGCAGTACTACATTCCAAATATTTTCCATAAAGCAGTACTAAAGTAGGGGCATCAGAAAGAAAATCAAACCCAGAAGTAGCTACGCTGACTGAGGAAACATTGCTACTATCACCTGGCTGCCAGTGTGTTACCTTGAGTGTAGTTAATGATGCAGCACGACCAGGATGTGAAAGACCAACCTGTGAATGAAGCACACTTGCCATTGTGTGCCTGACAATAATCAGCAATCTTTGGATTGCATAGCCATAATTTGTATTGGTTTTTTTGGCAGTGTCTACAGCTAAAATAAAATACTTGTAAAGTCTCATAGCAAATTTGAAGAAATTCACAATGCAATATTTTTTGTCAGTTCATGCTTTTTTTTCTCTAAAGGAGCTGCATTATAGTTTTAGATCCTGGCATTAAAAAATTAAGTATGCCACTGGTCTCATCTATTTTAACATATGCTACATTTGCCAGAGGTCAGAGATTTTTAATGTAGATAGTGCTTTACAAGCTTGTGGAGGAGAATAAATACAATTGTAGGCTTCTTAAGTAATATTTAAGTTCACTTTTAATTGGTATAAGCAGAGTAATTTCTGCTATGTATATGACTTCCCTGCTAAGCATTCAGAGATTATTGGCTTCTTATCAGAAATAATGGGGGAGTGGAGGTTAAGTTTCCGTCTCAAAAATTTTGAACCTCACAAATATGTAAAGTTGCTTTGAAACAAAAATGCCGATGTCATTTGCTCTTCAATTACCGATACAATGTTACTTCTAACAGTTTTGCTGATTTTGATGAGTATTTGGCTGATTGATGCTTTTGGAAAAGGTCACGTGTGTTGCAAGTATTGGGAGCTGTTGTAGGGAGCCTTAGCACACATCCTGTAGGTTGCAGATTTTATGAAATCATGCAGTAGAGCATGTCACAGATGCTGCGGGTGTCAGTCACAGACTGCAGTTTAGCTTTGTGGTGCTTTGCCTTTTGTGCAGCTTTACTGTCAACTTTCCGTGTATTGAGGGGTCTTGTTTCAAGGAAGCTATCTCAGTGCTCTTATGCAGCAGAAAATTATGCCACAAAATACAGCTTTGCTGGTTAGTGTGACATAGAATGAAGTTAATTTTTTTCACAGCAATATCTGTTTCCTTGCTATCTACCAATTCCAAAGACTAGATAAACTGTGGCTAAGGTATGAGAAACAGAGAATGTTCAAAATGGAAAATGATTGAAAAAAATCCCCCCATATATACTAGGAATAGCAGCAGTAGTTGTGTATTATGATTATCTTTGTCGTCATCATCTGAAGAAAAGTAAATACTTCACTTTACTAAATATAGTAAGATGCCTTCTGTAATGTACGGAAATATACAGAAAAGTCAATACTTTTCTTCTGGGAAACTTCTTGTTATTTTACGGATGCTGTGTTGTTCTGTTTACCTTACCCTAAGATTCGTCTCTCTTGGCTGTGGCAAAGTGCATACGGGGAAATGGCTATTGATACAGTGTTGTACCATTCAGATGAATTTTTTGTTTTTAATGAAAACCCGCGAAGACAAGAATGGATCACGGATGTTTATTATCAGTGTCACCATTGGAAAAATGGGAGAAGGCATCAGTGTTAGGGTCATTACAGTCCAGATATGGTAAAAATTAAAATCTGATGCATACAAATTTCAACTCTCCTGATAATGACCATTTAATTCCAGAAAGAGGTAGTTTCTCTGTTTAAAAAAAAATGTTGAATCATTCCAAAATAATACTGTAGTTTAAAAACAACCTGAGTAAATTGTAGGGTTGGAATTCTTAACATTTATGAATGTAGGATTTTAATGATTAATAGTAGAAATGAAAAAAAATTAATTTTTGATATGGTTAAGAGTTTTGGGGTTTTCCCCTTTAAATTTACTTCTGGGGAAATTTACTTTTTTTCTTTGTTTTGAGGGAAAGAACAAATAAAACTGTTAGCTGATTAAAGATTTTTGGCATGCAGTGCATGGAAACTCCAAGACTGCAATTTGTAATTCTTTTTTATTTTTAGGTTGTGAATATAATCTTGGAAAATGAACCAGTATAAATTGATTCCATATTAACTTTAATTTATTGTGCAACTAATCTGAAATGATAGGGCTAAGCTATAAATTGTCTTCCTTTGTAGTAAAAATGGGCTAATGCTGAAACCTACTGATAAAATAATTTTTGCATCAAATATCTTTCTAGCACGAATCTGTGCACTTCTTTGAAAGAAATGAAGATCTGTTTATACTAAAAGTTTCATAAGCAGAATAAATCCTGAAACTAGATTTGAAGAGGGAAAGATATAATACCTATCAATTAGTTAATTCGAAGTTTAGGAAGAATATTCAGAATCTCTAACTTCATATCATGAATTTAAAGATTTTTCTGGGTTTTGTTTAAAATGAAAAGTAGCTTTTCCTGTATTAGCTGTATTACTCTAAGAAACAGTTGTATTGATAGACAGTTTCACAGACCAGATGTGTCTGATTAGCATATTTAATGCACAGTATATGGCAACATGTATTAATTTATGTGAGTACATTTACAATTGGGTCTGTACCTGAAAGAAATAGATTATTTCAAAACACACTTTCTTCTTTTTTACCACTATTCTTCTGTCAGTTTTATAATTTTAAATACTCCTTGAGGAAAAGATGTGCTGTTCTTTATCAAAAATATAGTAAGATGCCTTCTGTAATATACAGAACCACTTAATCAACCCTTTAAATACAGAAAGATTTTCTATGACCTCCATTTTTAATGGTCAGGGAGTGCTAGTCAAAACAAATTATACTGTTACTGCTTAAAAAGGCCTAGTCTTTTCTCTGACTGCATCTGTTGAAGTAGCATCTTGGCTGGAAACATGTGTTGAACTTCTAAGCTTACTCATCCTTAGAGTTCTTGTCTATCAAAGGCTGCTGTAGCGGACTGGAGATGATGATATCTCTGGTTAGGTTCTCACACAGCTGAACACTGTTCCCTGATGAAGCACCAGGAGGTTATGGGAATCACTGGTGATGTGCCTTTGTGCACTGATTGTCCCTGTCCTTCATCTCTGAGGAGCGCTAACAAACATGAAAAAAGTTATTAATCACTGCTATAGCCCTGTAGGCTTCCAAGATGCTCTGTGGATGAGTAGGAAGAAGTACTGTGTTGCTAAGAGCTTGCTTTCTCTCTTTAGCATCAGTGAGTTAGTGTGGTGCTAGCTACCTTGCCCAAAACACTGTTTCAAAGCACAAAGGAAAACACATCCAAAAATAAACATGAAAGGGAAGTCTACACATGATGAGCTCTGGTCATGCACATCCTGTTGGGTCACTGGCTTGCTCCAACCCCTAATAGTTGGATTCTTTTGAACAGAGTAGGAGTGAAATGAATGTGTTATTACAGAAGTTCTCTGTAGTTCATCCTCAAGCTTTGTCCTTTCATGCAGTTGCAAACTGATTCAAACCCAGACAGGAAGGGAGTGAATCTGCTGAGAGGTAACTTATTTTTAGAGTTCTTTCCTACCACAGTGAATTACTCAGCCTTCCTTGGATAACATACAAATAACCTATTTCCTTTCGTGTGGAACAAGATGTTGGAAGTTACTGAACATGCATTGAGAAACATTTGATCTTGAGTAAATGAAGAACAGCTATTACTTCGCTATGCAGTAACTTTGGAGAGAGGGAGTCTTGGCCCCTATAAGGTCAGAATGAATATTTTAATTCTTTTTTTATTCATATTCAGCATCATTTACAGATCTTGTAGTCTGATAAACAGTAGCATATCTTGCTTCCTGCTTTCACCCATCTGATGATGATTCAGTAGCCCTCAGCACTTCACTGCTCTGAAATGATAGCTTTGGCAGAAGCAGCTTTCTTACCGTCTTTGTTTTCTGAACACTGAGAATGTTAGTTTTTAATGACACAGATCCACTGTCAGAATAGAAGAAATTTTACCTACAGTTTCAGTGGAACACTGTAGGAAATACACCTCTGAAATGGCATGCTGACTTCAATGTTGCAGCACTGGTCGGTGAGATTTCTGAATAAGGCTTAAGTTCATCAGAATTGAGACCACAGCTCTCAGTGCATTTGCACATAATGTCTTTTAAGGTATATCTAATCATATCCCTTA